TTAGGTAGCCCATAAAACCTGGCTGGTTGAGAACCAACTGGGTAGATTCTCTCATAGGTATTTTTGTCTAAGTGGCCCTTACTTTTAAGTGTTCTTAAAAAACGTTGTAATTTACCTTCCCTTTGTAATGTTGGATCGTTATCATTAACCTTAAACTTGGAAGTGTCACTGATAATAGATAAAATACCCTGTTCGTAGTCTTTCCTAACCGCCGCCTGGTTAGCTCAATTGGGAGAGCGCCGGACTGCTGTGCGGGAGGTCGAGAGTTCAATACCGGCCGGACCAACACTCAGGGTCTTAAAATTAACTGAGAAGAATATGCTTCCTTTCTCAACATCAAGAAATGGTTAGATATTCTAGTCTTCTCGGATAGGGACGAATAAATGGAGGTCCCGTCTCCTGCAGGGTTAGGGGTAGGAGACGTTAATTTCCCACGCACGAGATTACTGTGTGATGGATGTCCTCCCCTGGGGTGGGATGGGGGGAAAAGGTGAGGTCGTTACATGGACTAAAGCGGCTGCCAGAGGCGCCTGATTATGCTGACGTCCGATCTCAACCTTAGTAAAAATTGTAAGTGCATTGAGATTCTTAAATGCGTATTAAAGAACGTTCATTATTATTATTATTATTATTATTATTTCCTGTCCATGACAACCAGGCCATTTCCTTTGTCAGGTTTCAGTATTACAATGTCCTTGTTCCTCCTTAGATTCTTTAATACCCTGTATTTCTTCAGGTCCGCTGCAGAAGGTTGGTGCGATGAGACGTACGAGTGGGCAAGATGAGAGAGGTCTGCGACAAGTTTGCCCTTTAGTTTCCTGTCGAGTATATTTCTGACCATGGTACGATTAATTAGCTCAAAACAAGAAAAGACATCCGTTTTGCTGATGGTGCTAGGACAAATAGAATGTGAAGGCCCAAATTTAAGTATTTCCAGTTGTTCGGACGTGAGATTCTGCGATGAGAGGTTGGTGACTGTCTCCGTTGAAGTAAACGGTAGAACTACGTTTCGCGTTAATCTTTTGAGTTTCTTCTCGTGGGTGGTGATAACTCGTTTCACAGCCTTTTGAACATTGTATTTCACAGTTCGATGGAAGACATATCTATCGATGTTGCTGATAATTCCATTGATATGCACCGCTAATTTGTCTCTTTCTTCGGTTAATTTGCAAAGTTCCTTTCTCCGTTTGGCTATAGCACTTTTTAAGAGACGTTTTCGAATAGCATGTACATCGTGTCTACTTGTGTTTGGCAGTTGAAAACAGATAAACTTCGGAAACACATTGAATGATAAACAGTTTTTAAGGAAATTCAAATCCAACTTAGCTTTGCTTACTTTGATCGAAGTCTTCTCAAACTTCCGAAGGTCAGAGATGCTGACTTTCCTGTTATATTTTTCTGCTATGTCGTAAATAATGTTACCAAAAGGACGTAAAGACAGCAGAGTGGCAATAATTCTTAATAAAGAAACCACAACTTTTAGTTTGCAAGACATGTTTCGACATTCTTATGTCATCTTCAGTTGTAAATGCGATTTTAACGGTTGTACATTTGAATTTATATGAGATTACGTTACAATTTACGTCATATTGTTTACGTTACAATTTGAATATTAAATACGAAAAAACGTGACATAGCACGCGCCAGATGGGGAAAGAAGGAGAAAAGAAAAATAATGATCATAATAAGAAAAATTATTATGATGACAGAATCAAAAGGAAAGAGACAATTCTAGATGCTTCAATTGCTGATTAAGGATGGGTTTGTCCCACTTAATATGCAATGCCTCTTTGATCTTAATTTTGTATTTCGAAGCGGCAGAATCTAAAATGGTGAAACATTCTGTACCACAAGAGTCGAGACAGGCCTTTGATGATTGTAGGTGCTTGTAAATGTGTGAAGTTTTGTCAGACAAGAGGTGCTCACGAACCCGTGTACAGATGTGGCGAGTGGTCTCACCAATATAACCGGCATTACAGCCAGCACATGAAAATTTATAAACGACACGCGAACGTAGACCTGGTGGTACTGAATCTTTCACACTGAACAAGTTTCTGAGCTTAAACGTGTTGAAGACTAACTTAATATCTAAATCAGGTCTACAATAACGTTTCAGTAGATGCCTTAACTTGGTTTGAGCGATGTCAGAAAACCGCCCAACATAAGGAAGTTTAAAATAATGCGAAGAAGGGTTTCCGGAGTTTAATGTGGCGTTATGCGTGGGAGAAGGATTATAGCTCTTGGCCAGATGTCTTGAGATAATCCTGTCTATGACGCTGGAAGGGAAACAATTTTTCCGTAGCAAGAAAATAAGTTTTTGTACATCCTTGTGGAAACCAACCCAGGAATTATTGATCTTATATACTCTGTCAACCAGAGTTCTTATTAAACCCAATTTGTACATCATAGGAGTGAAGCTAAAATAATTCGTCAGAAGACCAGTAAACGTCTTCTTGCGGTAGACGCTAGTAATTATGGATGGATTACTGTTGTAGATCATCACTCCTTTTTTTTCTTGGCTGACAATGAGCTTGACTCGTCCCTTTCCTTCGCCAAGCTGCTTGATAAATCCACCACAGTCCATAAATTTGTCAAACAAATGACATGGTCTTCTCAGACTGAAAAAAGTAATTGTTACAGAACCTGGCTTCTCTTCTACCTCTAAACCATACCTTGTTAGACCAAGAACGTCCTTATGTAGAATGTTAAAAACCTCCTGTGCCATAGGGAGATCAAAAATGACCATCCACGGGTGCACTTTACTCATCCTTGGTGATAGCCGGCAATCAATGGCACATTTCGCCTGAATCATGCAACGCTGTAGCATTGGATACAGTTCACCAAGTTTATATTTAGGTCGCTCTCGAATTGCTCCAAAGTTTCCTTTCACAGCTAATTCAGCAACCTTGTTTAGCCGGTTGAATGTGATATCTAGATCCCTCAATTTATGCCCATTCGAAATTCTTCGCTCAAATTCTGACTTGCTATGCTTAAGGGCTTCTTTTATTTAAAATATTAGTTCCTCTTCGGTGGGTTCAGAGCTATCCGCCATCTTGGATTTTGGAAAACTTTACCCCAGGTCACGTGCGGCCAAATTGAAAATTGGCCCAATTTCGAGCAATAATTTCCAACTGTGGATTTAGCAGCCTTGATCACGAGAGCGGTTACACGAAGCAATTTTGTTAGGTCGCAAAATCGGTAGATATTGACAATCTGGTCAATGTTTCTCTCTGGCAGGCTTGCTGAGGTGCTCACAAGTGAGTGAACAGTAGCTTGTGGCTTGTTAACAACTTCGTTGAGCGCAACTTCATCTTTGGACTGAGTTCTTCGATTCTCGGGCCATTCGGTTTTGGGAAGGTACAATTGCGGGCCCTTCCACCACGTTTCGCAAGTTACGAGGACCTTAGCTGTTAAACCATGCGAGGGTAGATCAGCTGGATTTAGATGACCAGGACAGTGGCCCCACGCTTCTTTGGGAGTTAGACTGCGAATCTCGTCGACTCGGTGCTGAATGTACTGTTTCCAAATCCTTTGGTTTTTGATCCAGCACAATGCGGTCATCGAGTCAGTCCAATAAACGGTTTTGTGAACTTCTGCAATCGATGACTTGAACTTGACAACTAGTCGTGCTAGAGATAAAGTGCCTAAAAGTTCCAAATGAGGAATGGTTTGCTTCATCATGGGTGCCACTTTGGATTTGGAAGCCGCTAATCTCACGTGAATACGACCATCTTTGTAACGCGATCTCAAGAAAACAACTGTGGTGTAGGCGTGTTCGGAGGCGTTACTGAAGGTGTGTATTTGAATTTCAACAGGTGACCCAACAAAATAGTATCGCGGGATACGTACGGTTTCATAACATTGGATTTCGTCTAATAAGGATTTCCACTTTCTAAGAAGCTCTCCTTGTAGTGTTTCATCCCAGTTGATCTTGCCAATGCAAAGTTCTTGAAATAGAATCTTCAATCCTATTGTAAACAGCGATAAGAATCCCATCGGGTCAAAGATTTTCGCTGTTACCTTCAAAATGGATCTCTTGTTGAGCGGAAGTGACATCGCATACTTGTGTAAACTGTAAAAATCGAAGTAAAGTTCATTGCAGAGCGTGTCCCAGTTTAGTCCCAACACCTTTACGACAGTGTCTTCCTTAGTGGAGGGATTGTCAAGTCCAGTAGTCGTCTTAGCGCAAGACTGATCATCCTCAATTGTGATATCCGATCGTGATTTGTTTTTGGGAATTGAATCTTCATGAAGCCTTTCAGCATTTGAAATCTCAGACAGCACCTTGGGCGAGTTAGAGTTCCATTTTCTTAGATTGAATCCTCCGTCCGCCATGATTCTTCTTGATTTGTGATAAATTTTCCAAGATTTTCTCATTGTTTTCAGCTCCAGAGAGCAAATCGTTGACATACAATGATTTTTCGAGAAGCGCTGCCATTTCCGGTTCACTTTGTTGGTACAAGCTCAAGTGATGAGTGATTGTTGCTCCAAGTATCGAAGGCGATGATCGTAATCCAAACAAAAGTCGGTTGAATCGAAATTGTGCGATTCTTGGTCTGTCTTGTTCTGGGTTATCAAACCACAGGAAATGTAGCATGTTTCGGTCTTTTTCTTTAATACTGGCCATTAGAAAAGCCTTTTCAATGTCTGCGGTAAGTCCAATTGGGTTGTTTCAGAATCTTGCTAGCATGTCAAATATGTGCAGAATGTAATTATCGCCAGTCTCTAAACAATCGTTTAGTGACAGTTCTTCTTTAGACGCTTTCGCTGACCCATCGTAAACTACATGCACTTTAGTTGTTTCGCGATACTTTCTGATCACTGCATGGTGTAGTGAATAATAGATTCAGGCGTTGTTAATGGTACTGCTTGATTCTTCTTTGTGAACTCTTTCAACAATTCCGGTCTGCTCTTGTTCTCGAATAATTTTGTCATAGTCCCTCCATAAATCTGGATCCTTTTTCAATTTGAAATGCAGTGATCGCAGTCGGATTTCACACATTCGATAGTTATTTGTATGTAGGAAGCAGTCTTCCTTCCATGGCAGTGCAACTTCGTAATGACGACCATCAAAAGAGATTTCTTCGTTTCGCTTGGCTTCAATTGGCAAGGGAGTTGATGTCGTCTGTAATTCCGATGCTTTCGGTTTCCCAGAACAGTTTCAGCATATTCGTGATCTCGTCGACTTCATTCACTTCGTTTAACAATGGTTCACCAGAGATGATGAGATTCGAGACGACATTGGAATTTTCATGTACATGTTGCTCATCGGTAGGGCCTGACAGAAGCCAACCCAACTTGCTGTTGATGGCTGTGGGAACGAATTCACCGTGGATCGATTCACCAGTAATAATCTGATCCAATGAGAATGTCAATAGAGTCTTGGTCGATCGCTGAACTGTCTGCTAAATCTAAATTGGCTAAATGTGGGTATTTCGTGGCATCTATTCTCTTAGGAAGTGGCGAACAAATGACCGGAAAATTGAGCGCTGAAATCTCCACATACTCGTCTTTACTGCTTCGCAGTGGCAAAGTAACATCTTGGCATTTTTGTTTACGATAGGCATTTTCCCCAAACGTGTTTAGGTGAAGGGTCTCAGTTGACATTGCAGTTAAACCCAGCTTTGCTTTGATGTGGTCAGTCACGTATGAACGTTGACTACCATTGTCCAATAAAATTCGTACAGGAATGGACTTGGATCGGTCCTGGTTTGTTGCTATCGCGGTAGCAGTTTGTAACAAAATGCTCCCCTTGGCTCTTTTCGTACTTGTAGTTGCGGTGGTAGTGGTCCTCCCCAAACTAGTTGCTTCTTCGGTGTTTGTGTTACTGTCGGTTGGTCACGTTTCTCGATATCCTCCTAAACAAATTGACTGATGATGACGGCCTCCACAGTTACAACAGTTCCTTGAGCCCCTGCAGTCCTTGATTTGATGCCCAGGAAATAAGCATTTAAAACATCGTTTTGACTTGATTAGTGTACTTCTTCTGTGGTTCGGATCAGTCACCCTCCAGCAAGACGCTGAATAGTGTAAATCGTTACAATAAACACATCGTATTTCCGGTGTTTTCTTTGCTGTTTGGTCATCTTTGGTTACTAAGGAATTTGCGGTTGGATACTTGGGATTCTTGTTTTGTTACGGTGGAGGTTTCTGATTTCAATCTTCGGTGATTTTAACATTCTTGCTAACTTCTATAGCTTCAACTTCTTGTTTGATTACATCCATCAGTTCTTCAATTTTCCAAACAGCACTCGTCATTTCTCTAGCGATTCTAACACGAAGTTCATTGGGAAACTTAGACATAACCACTGGAACTAATAAACCGCCGTATTAATCAGAGGCAACGCCCAGTGAAGACAGGCCACGAATGTGGACGCTGATTTTGTCGTACACAAATCTCAAAGAATTTGAATGTTTGGATGTCGAGCAGCTTGGCAATTTCAACAGTTCCTCCATGTGTGCGGAAATTATTTGTTGTGTTCTTCCGAACCTCTCATGTAAAATTTCGATTGCAGATTTGTGATTCGCTTCGGTCAAAGATAAACCTTGAATTGATCGAGAGGCAGGGCCTTCGAGGAGTGAATTGAGATAATTGAACTTATCGATAGGAGAAATTGCCATATTTTCATGCACTGCTGTCTTGTAAGAGTCCCAAAAGCTGGTCCACTTAGTTACATCTCCTCTAAATCTAGGTAATATCAACTTAGGTAACTTTGCTTTCACTTGAACATTCATTGCTGTTGAAGCCACGCCAGGTAAACCTTGGCCAGGATTGATTTGGCTTTCTTGTGTGCTAGATTCATTCTTCCCTTTTGTTAAGGCATCTTGTATGCTTTTTTGACATTCAACCACCCTTTCCAGGACCCTCTCTGAATCCTCGATCTCGTTTTGAATAGTTTCAACTTCACATAATGATAAAATACTTTTGTCAAGGCCATCGACAAGTTTCAATTTGCTCTCCAGTAAACGATGCAATACGTCTTATTGTTTAATTTGTTCATTACTCAGCATACCTTCTGTTTCGAGTATATCGTTTGCTTCTCCAATCCTCTTGGTAAGGACACCTGTGGGCTCCTCACGATGCTCTAAGCCTTTCTAGTTTCTCCTTCAGCTCCTTTTCGCTCATGATGCCGCTCGCTCTGATCGCTTGTCTTCTTCAATCGAATCTTTTAGCCAGTGAGTCCTCGCCCCACGTTGGGCGCCATATTGTAAACTTCGAGACATAATTTCTTGATTCCTTTTATTGATTCGTACTTACTACAGCATCATCTAATTTGTATCGTAAAAAACCTAAACTTTGTAACTTGAACTTGAACTCTAAGACAATAACGAGGTCAAATGTGACATGCCAAATCCTCAGTCAAATATTAGGTCACCAACTTGCGGTTACAATGGAGTTGCCTTTTGTGACCAAGAGGTCCTGAGCTTGTAAGTGCAGGTCTTGAAACTCTGAACTACTGAATTAAACTAACTGTACTTTTATATGGAATCGAACAATAG